AATTTATTAATTTTATAAATAATCCTAATATTTTGAATGTACACATCCTTAATATTCACTTTTATCATGATTTATAGCATTTATTAATTTAAACAAATGAACAAAAAAAATTAAAAATTGAAAAAACTAGTCAAGGATTAGAAATTTACAGGAATAAAGCGGCCCTCGTCATTCTGAATCTTTTGATCTAATGGAGAATAGAGATTCTACATTTTTCGAGAACCCTTCGAGAGGTTGTGTATGCACAAGATCTACGAGAAGAACAGGCGCGAAAATTAACCAAGTGCGCTAAGAAGGTGCAACCCGAAGTGCTCTTCCTTTTTTTGGAGATTTCTTCTTTCAGCTTCTTGAAATACCTAGAAGAAGGTTAATATGAGTCGGTAGGAGAAAGGGAAAAACTTGTATATCTCTTGTGAAGAGGAGCACCTGTTTTTATAGCCCTATGGTACACCTCCTTTTCCTATTTGAACTATGATTCCTCTTTTCTTCCTTGTTTACTACTTGTATTTTATTCCAATATGTAGACTTTCAATTCAACATAGAGTCAAATTACCCAAGGACCCATATTTTTTAAGGAGTTGTGTTGATATATAGAGAAATATATATATATATATATACATATATATTTTTTATCAAGTGTGTTAATTTATTAGTCTAACTAGAATATTGACAATAGTTTTTTGACTAAATAATAGAAGGGATCAATGTTACAGATAGAATAAAGTTGTCTTCAGACAACAAGCAAGTAATCAACAACTTTAACTTTAACTTTAACTTTTCTTTTTCGCGAAAGCTTCAACTTCACTTATTACTACGTTTCTCTAGCGAGTGTTTCGCAACATTTTTTTCTTTTATTTACATGGAAAATTCTTTTTAAGGTACACAGTTTTTGGTTCAATGTATAGGTTGCTTCTCAACCTTATAGTCCCTGCATTTTAGTTGTTGACCGAATACTACAGATTCATTTTAAAATGTTGGATTGTAATTGTAGTTGTAGTTATAAGTTTTTTAATATTTTAATATCACAAAAATGTATAAAGTATATTTAATATATTTAATATTTATTTTAATTAACATTTTATATAATTTTAATATAGTAAAAAAACAAAATTAAGAATCAAAAGCTAAAGCACAAAAAAATGTTCCCAAACGAAACACTATTTTAGGAGTTGCCTCTCAAGTATGGGCATGGTTGTTGTCATTCTATCAAAACTTATTACAAGTTAAAAGAAGAGAACAAAAATAATTGTATGTAATAAATATTCAAATATAACATGATATAATAAATTATATCATACATATCTGTTATATGTAATAGAATCTCTAGCTATTCTAATAATATGAAACTCAAAATTTACCCTCCATAACATTTCTCCTTTTTCTTTCTTTTTCCATTTCTAATTTTTTCCTGTCCTCTCTTAGAATTTGGCATGTGAATTATAAATTTTAGATATTGTTGTCATCATTTTGCGCAATTTTTGAATTCACAGTTGATTGACCCATTGCCTTGATCATCTATCCTAAATGTATTCTTTTTTTTGGAGAGTTTTTTTCTTTTTGGAGTAAATAAAGGAAAGAGCTAACCATTCTTTAAATAATAATAATAAAAAAAAAAAACTTTCGACTTTTAACTTGTATTATTGTATAATATACAAAAGTAGAGTAACCTTAAAATTATGTAGCATAGTATTTTGACTAACTTCCAATTCAAAACCTAACACAGAAAAAAAAAAATAAAAGAAGAAGAAGAAAGAAAGAGCTAACAATTTTTCTCAGCACATGTCTGACTTAAGAAATAAATTAACTCATTCAAATTTTCTTAAACAAATCAGCACAAAACTAAATCTTAAAACACAGCATGATAGACAAAACAAGCCCATTACATAGAGAATACCAAACTTGCGCTTGTAAACACAAAAATTGCAGAGACAAAAAAAAAAAAAAAAAGGAATTGCAAAAATTTTGATGTGAAGACTGAAAATTTAAAGATTACAAAAGAATAAAATTCTAAACAAAATTGAAACAAGAAAGAACTCAGAAAAAAAAAAATCAATTTACCCAGAGAAGAATTATACCAGAGACTTGAGAAAAATGGGGTATATATGATCGGGAAATAAAACGATGAGCTTTGGAGAATTTGGGTTAAATTGGGCTTTTGGATTAGATGGTTATGGGCTGCTGAGATGGGCGTTGAGCGTAAATAGGCTGGGCTTCAGGGTTTTGAGTGCCTTTTTTTGGATAATTTAACCCCCCAACTTTTAATTTCTTCGATTGAGTCCTTTTTCTTGAATTTCCTTCCTTTATTGCTTCACAAAATTATCTCTTTTTGCACGTAGAACTACAAACAAAGCAAAGATAAACTTAGTTAAAAACAAAATTTTCTATATATTTTTTATTTTTTTTTCACATTTTGAATTTTTTTTATGTTTTTCTTGATTGATTTTAAGATTTTATATTTTCATGAAAAACCCAAATAAACTAAATGAAGAATCAACTTATGATATGAATTAGTTCCCTATTTTCTCTCTTCTTGCTACTCCTTCCAAGGCCCTTGATATTGTGTGATAAGATCTTCATTTTGAGTAGACAATCTCTTCCTTTTCAATCCTACCTCTTTGTTTCTTCCTTGCCATAGCAATTCTGTCCCTCTTTCTCCATTTCATCAAGCCAATTGACGATTTCCATCTCGTTTCTGTGTCATTACAATCCTAGCTGTTTGCCTACTTCCCATAGCTCGAATGCTTCTTCCTTCTAAGATTTTTTTCAATAACCTTTTGTTGAAATTTGCAATTGCCCTATTGAAATTGACTTGTCCTTTGGTAAGATATTTGGGGTAAGTTTTGTGGTCACCTTTGTTTTCCTTGACTTCTTCACAAGTGATCTGTCCTAACCAATTATGGCTCCCTTATCCCTCTTTATCATGGTAATTTTTCTTTTCTTCTTCCTTTTTTGAACTTCTTCTTTGCTTATTTGCCTTTTGAACCTGAGAAAGTTCATCCTTACTTGCTAAGCCCTCCCAAAAAGAACAAGATTCCTCCTCTACATCAGTCAAATTTCTTCCACAGACTTTACTAGCTTCCCTTGTCTCATTTTTTGTTTTCTTTTATTGTTGATCACCCTATCAAATTGCATTCCAATTAAATCTTGAGCCCTATATTCAATTTCCAAGTCCACGTGGTCTTTCCTCGAATCCCCAATTGTACACACTTTTCCTAAAAAAGCCTAGCTCCTTGTTTACTTTAATTAGGCTTACGCCTAGGCCTAACAAGTCATTTGGCGATGAAAGCCCAATTTGCTGAAACCCATAATTCAAAACTTCCTAATACTCATTGGATTCAATTTAGCTACCACTACTTCCCACTACCCAACTACCCAATCTACCAGTTGGACTTCCCACCCTAAGGCTTCCCATTATTCCTTTTCCATGCTTCTTCATGTTTTCCATTTCTTCATCAACCTCGACTACAACAAAAGTTGTCTTGCTATTCAAACTTTGGTAGTTGACATCAACTTCTTTCTCAAATCTTGCATATGTATTAGATACTTTCCACTCCTTCCTTTGATACACCATTGCCTGCACTATCATACCTTGATTTTGTCAGGGTATATTTTACAAAATTTTTAATAAATTTTCAATAAATGATATTTTCCAAAGTAATTGATTTTCAAAACCTCAAAATACAAATTTTAAATAAATCTATGATAATTTGTATATTGAATAAATTTCAATGCTTTATATATTATTCATTCAAAACTTTGAAAGTTAAGTTTAAAATGGGATTAATTTAAAATTTTCCTTTTGCCTTTTAATCATCATATCTGAAAAAGTTTTAATTGTGTCTTGCAGGGACCAATATGAGAAAAAATTGGAGCTGCAGGACCAAATTGTCAAAGAAAAAGAGCCAAATTGCGAACAAATAGACGTGAGGACCAAATCGTCAAAATCACAAATGTTGAAGGACAATGTTTATTTCCTCTCTTAATTAAATGACGTCGTTTTTTGGCTAAGCCCTAAATCTAATTAAAAGCCATCGGGTTTTCTTCCTCCTCTAAGTTGTGATTTGCAGAGGGGTTAAGGATTTCATCCCAAATCCAAATTAATCAAAGAAGATTGCCAGGGGAAGGCCGATTCAGGGGCGACGTGGTCAGATCTCACTTGCTACTCCCAAAGCCAGCTATAGGAGACGCGCGTCCTTTCCAAGGAAGCACTGTACCTTGCCAAGGCCATTAGCAATCGATGGCTGCAAAGGAAAGAAATTATCTGACGGTAGAGAAGATGAGCCGCCTTCGCCTATAAAAGTCATGGCAGTCCGTGGTGCAAAGGGGGAGGAGGGAGCCTGTGAGAAATCAGGGAAAAATGTGAGATTGAGGAAAAGAGAGTGAAATTCTGGGAAAAATCGAGAGAAATTTGTAAAATTTAGGTTTCTAAATTCGGGTAAATCAAAGAACAATCCTTCAGTGTCTCCAAATACAGTATCTTTGACGTTGATTTGTGAATTTTATGACGCAATTAAGAGAAAGTGGACGATTTTGGTAGCGAACTCAACCGAAATTGCTTGATACTGTGACCCTATTTTCCCAATTTTGCATTGCCATTTAATCTCCTTGGAAGCAATTCAACTGTGGGTAACTTAGATTCTAGACGGTATGACGTTCTTCATTTTCTACTTTGCGTCGTCTCCAAATTTTTCCATCATTCTGTCCTGTGATGGAATGGGATTGTAATGGTTGTCGAATCTTAGACCCAAACCATAACAAGTAATTTGGGGAGGATCTTCTG